ATAATTCAACAATGTAGTGAGATCTTGTTTTAAAATAAGAAATAAAAAAGGACTGGGAATGTAGCTCATTGTGCTTTGTATTTTACTTTTCTTATACCAGAGAATCAAACTCATAACCTTGTGCTTGTCAGGCAAGCACTTGTGCCACTGAGCTAAATCCCCAGCCCCTGCAGCTTATTGTGAAGGCCCTGGGTTCAATCAAAAGTGACAGGGGGAGAGGAGGAGCCAGACGTGGCCCCAGATGCTTGTAATCCCAGTACTGGGAAGGCTGAGGCAGGAAGATCACTGTGAGTTTCAAGGCCCCCTGAGCTACATAGTGAGTTCAGGACCAGCCTGAACTGCATAGTAAAACACTGTCTCAAAAAAACAAAAACAAAAAAAGAGAGTTGTCATCAATTTCCCTGACCTCCTCTTTCCCTTTTTGTTATCCTCTTTCCCTTTATGTTATGCCTTGTGTCTAGATGCCCCCCCCAATCTTATTCTATTGTAGATGGGCCTTTTTCAGAGGTGTCTGAATCTCCAGTGTGTGATACTGTGATTAAGGATGTGTGATTAGTGAATCAGCCCACTGACTGGGGTGGCACTGCCCTAATCCCAGTAGACTGAATACAGTACAAGGGACAGAAAGAGGCTTGTCTTCTCCCTTTTCGCTTACACTAACTTGTAGGCACCAAGAGCCATTCTCTGCTGCAGCCCCCCTCTGCCATGTGCCACCCTGCCTTGGAGCCAGCCAACTATGGACTGGAACCTCTACAAACTGTGAACTAACTAAATCTTTGCCCCTTTAACTTTGGGTGTCCAGTATTTCATCTCGGTAATGAGAAAGGTTTCTAAGATGCCCCTGCAGTCTGGGAAAGGACCCCATGCCTCCTGCATCACATGAACTATTAGTGGGAACTTCAACAATTGGGACACTGGCTCCCTCTGAGTACAGCGATTGGTGAGAGACATACCAGGGGCTCTGCTGGTGGTCAGGGTGGTGGCTGGGCTGGTGTAGGAATGCCTGGAAATGAGATTTTAACTCTGCCACTGGCTGGCTATAAGACTGTGGGACATGAACCTACAGCCACTGGACAGAGAGCTGCTGGAGTACCACACGATGACAGCTAGAGGGACAAAGCAAGGCAGGATGCACTCTGGTTCATGTGTGTCCATGAATCCAGAATCCAGCTGTGTTCAAGTCCAGGCCCACCGAAGCTCTGCAGTCCACAATTCAGTAGGTTCTTTGTCTGCTGAAGCCTGTTTGACCATGGACCCGTGTCACTTGGAAAGTAATACATACACAACCCACATTAAGAACACTCATTTCAAGAGGTAAGCATAGGGTTGAACAGGTTAGGTCAGTGATGGCGAACCTTTTAGAGACCAAGTGCCCAAACTGGAACCCAAAACCCACTTATTTCTCACAAAGTGCCAGCACTACAATTAAACCTGAACACTGAGGTTTTCATTTACAAAAAACAACTCTACATTAACATCTTTTCTCATGGGGGGGCTGGGGATTTAGCTCAGCAGCACAGCGCATGCCTGGCAAGCATGAGGTCATAAGTTTGATCCCAGGTACAAAAAAAAAAAAAAAAAAAAGATGGAACCATCTTGTCTTAAAAGAAAAACACAGTAATACATGTGCTATCGGTTTGCTAATACTGGGTTAGATCATTAGGTTGACAGTTTTTTGAGGACAGGTACTGTTTTATCCACATGTGTGTCACAATGTGCTGACTGCCCCAGAGCTCACATATTTGTAGAATGGATGAATATTGTATGTAAAAACTCCTAGGACTTATAAAGCTTGTTTGGAGGTTCTAGTAGGGGAATGCAGCTTCTCATATACCCTTGAGCAAGGAAATGTCCTCCGCTCTCAAGGGTGGTCGCCCTCTTCCACTGAGCTTGCAGCAGCTTCGGGAGGGAAACACGTGGAGCGGTGAGGGAAGAGGAGGACATTCCCCTAGCTGGCTAGATCCCCTGGTGATCCATGGGTGACATGTCACAGACAGATCATCTTTATATCCTATAAACTTCCTAACACATGCTAGTTATCTCAGGTGTGGTGGTGCATTCCTGTAATCCCAGCACTTAGGAGGCTAAGGCAGGAGGATCACCACAAGTTCAAGACCAGTCTGGGCTACAAAGTGAATTCAAATCCAGTCTGAAATGCATAGTGAAATTTTGTCACAGAAAGACAGAAAAGAGAGAGAGAATATATCTCAGGGCCAGCCATGTGGCCCCCACTTATAATTCCAGGACTGGGGAGGCTGAAGCAGGTGGCTCACCATGAATTTGAGGTCAGTCTGGGTTACATAGTGAGTTCAAGGCCAGCCTGAACTACATAACTAGACCCTGTCTCAAAATAAAAAGAGAAAGAATATATTCCAGGAAAGTTAACTTTATTTCTTCTTGTTCCATGTTGCTCTTCTAAAACTTGGATAGTGACTCAGTAATTCCTCTCTGACTTCCCAATTAGGTATCTGAGTTAGCAATGTCTGCGCTAACTAGTACGTTTAGGATTGGACTGTCACAGTGCAGTGTAATCCCAACACTCTGAAAGTCTGAGGCAGAAGAATTGCAAATTTGAGGCCAACTTGGACAATTTAACAAGACCCTGTCTCAAAAACTTTTTAAATTTTTTTTAAAAAGGCTGTGGGCATGGCTCAGTGATAGAATTCTTGCCCATGATGCATGAGGTCTTAAGTCTAATCCCCAATACTTAAAAAAAAATTTTTTTAAACAAAAATCTAGTAGACACAGCAGCGCTTAGGAACTGCACAGGAAGTCCTGGTGATCACCAAGTAGTGCGTGATAAAGTTGCCATGGAGACGGACACGTGCCATGGGACCCACTGCAGCAGCAGCAGCAGGAGCAGCTAATCCTGCTGGAGGGGGCAGCCCAGGCCTCTGAGGAAGGGCTGGCTGGGCTGGGTCAGGAGGGAAAGGCCAGAGCACAGGGTAGGAAGGAGAGGGAGGAGGAGGGGAGGTCCCCAGCACTGCCAAGCTGGTTGCATGGTTGCCTTGGTGAGGTGGCTGGAAGGAGGGCAGGCCCCCCACAAGTCACTCTGAGGGTTCTATTCCAACTCAGCACCTCACACAAGGAGCCATTGCAGGTCTGCAGGAAGTCAGACAGCAGGGTGCGGCCCTTGTCCTGAGGCCTAAACCCAAGGCGACAGGAAGGAGGGGCATGGGCTGGTTCCAGGGTAGTTTGGAAGGCAAAATATCGGTGGAGTGGTGTTGGGAAAGAGGGAAAGGGAAGAGTCAGGGCATAGCTCCAGGGAAAGGAAGGACTGATGGCCATTCCCCATGTCCTCCCCCACCGCAGAGATAGCTGTCTGGGCCCCAGGGATCCTGGCAGCCACCGCCCAGGTAAAGACAGACATCGGAGAGACACTTGGAGGAACAGGTTTTCCTAGGTTTTGCTGCGTTATCCTGTGATCTTGTCTTTGTCTCCTCGGGCTGCCACAACAAATTACCACAGACTAGGAGGCTCAAACACCAGAAATGTACCAGAAACCAAGGTGCTGGCCAGGCCGTGCCTCCTCTAAAGGGCCCGGGAGTGGGGTGGGGGCTCCCTGCTTGCTTCTCCCAGTTTCTAGCAGCTTCTGTGTATCTGAGCTCCCAGCCCCTTGGAGACTCATGATTTGCAAGTGTTTTATCCTCTTCTGAGGGCTCTTTTCATCCTCTGACTTTTTAATCTTTGTGAAGTCCAATCTATCTGTTTTGTTTTCTGTGGCGTTTTTGGTTTGGTATTGTTTGGGGGTTTTTTGGTGGTGATGGGGATCAGGATCGAACCTACGGCCTTGTGCATGCAAGGTAAGAGCTCTGGGGCTACACCACATTCCCAGCCTTTGCAGTTGTTTGGTGACATATCTAAAAAAACTGCCAAACTCAAGGTCTTAAAATTTTCTGTTTTTTTTTTCTAAAGGGTTTATAGTTTTATCGCTTACACTTAACTCTCTTTTACACATTCTCAGTGTTTTGAGTCTGATAAACTGAGAAGGGCCCCAGGGGCTGCTTAATTAAGATGGTGGCCATGGGAGGGGCCAGGAAGGCTCCGGCAGAGTCAGGGTGACCTCTCCCCACCCCCACCCCCATCTCCAGCAGTCCGTGTTCACTGGGTGGGCGGCGACCACTGTGCTCCTCATGGAAAAAGAGTACAGTGCACTGCTGTGGGGACCTCACGGGACTGCACGAGTGTAGGTACGAACTGCAGAACAACAGCCAGCAAAGCCTTGATCTAGTGTTCACCCCAAACAGCGGCTGGAGCACGCTGCCAGCCGGGGAGCAGGCAGTCAGAACTGGAACATCTGCCTGCCAGGAAAGCTGGACGGAGGAGGAGGAGGAGGACAATGACAGTGGCAGCGAAAACTGGTAATGCCAAGCCTTGCTGAACACCAAGGGCAGTGGGACCCCTGCAGTCAGAAGTGAACGCCCTTAGATTCACGCAAGCATCTCCTGAAGTTCATAGGCACCTTCTCTGCGAGGCAGCAGCTGCACTCTTAGGTGTGTACATCTGACACTGGTTGAGCACATGCTGTCCTCAGGACCCCTAGAAGAACGGTCACAAAAGTGCTATTTTCTGTTGTTGTTGTTTGTTGGGTTTTATTTATTTATTTTTGATACAGGATCTCACTATGTAACCCAGGCTGGCCTTGAACTTGTGGTGATCCTCCTGCCTCAGCCTCCTGAGTGCTGGGATTATAGGCGTGTGCCACCATGCCCAGTTCAAAAGCTTTATTCTTTTTTTTTTTTTAATGTTTTTTGTCTTTTGCTTTTTTATCAGTACCAGGGGTCGAACTCACGACTGCCTGCTTGCAAGTTAGGCACTTATGCCACTGAGCTAAATCCCCAGCCCCAAAAGCTTTATTCTTGACAGCCCCAAGCTGCCTTCCAACAACAGAATGAATAAATAAATCATGGAATAGTTATATGGTACACTATTATACAGCAAGGAAGATGAATAAACCAAGCAGGTTTAAATCTCACAATCAAAGCACTAAGTAAAAGAAGTTTGGTACAAAAGAGTATGTATTATATGACAATAAGTATGTGAAATAAAGTCAGGAAAATGAATTGTGATAGAATAACGGTCACCCTTGGGGGTCCTAGGAGCTGAAGAGAGTCAAGGTGGGGTTTGGTTACAACCTCTTTCTTGTTCTGGGTGCTTCTCACATGGGTGGCTTTTACTCCAAAAATTCATCAAACCATGCACTTACCATGCTAGGGGGGCATATGTATTGTTTCACAATAAAACTGACAACAAAAAAACAGAACAAGCAGAAACAGGTCTGCTGTTGTGGTCAGGGGTGGGATAGAGACCAGGCTTACCAGTTAGCCAGGCCCAGGGCTCCTGCCAGGCAGGCCCAGGGGATGCGGTCTGGGTGGACCGGCCACTTACAGCACCAGGATGCCACCAGGCAGATGTGCTGAAGGGAAAGGGACGCTTCCTCTCCCAGCCTGCATCCCTTCTTCTCCTTTCCTTGTCTTCCTTTTCTCTTCTTTTTCCTTCTCTTTTTTCCTCCCCAAGACAGGATCTCACTTGTGGCCCAGGCCAACCTCCGACTCATGGCAGTTTCTGCCTCAGCCTCCCAAGCGCTGGGACTATGGGTGTGTTCCCAGCCTTCTTTCTTCTTTTATTTACACTTTCAGGACCCAGTCACTGAGAACCTGAGTCAGCCGGGCCTAGGGACACAAAGATAAGTAGCTTACAGCCATGGTCTGGTGGGGGAAGTGGACACATAAGCAATCAGTCCAATCTAGAGCCAAAGGGCCCCAACGGGCTTCCATCCAGGAGCAGAGTGATGCAATCAGGCAGGGGACCTCAGGAGGCTCCTCAGAGAAGGTGATGTGGGGTTTGGTCCTCACGCAGGCAGTCAGGCAGGCTGTGGAGGGAGAACAGATCTGGCAGAGAGAACTGCCAGCTGGCTCCTTTCTCTCCCCTCCCACTAAGTGAGCATAACTAGGAGGTGATTAAGAAAAATAGGGTGGCAGGTCAAGAATTAAAAGGGGCTGGGGCTGGGGCTGGGGCTGGGGCTGGGCTGAGGCTGGCGCTGGGGCTGGTACTGTGGGTTCAGATAGTAGAGGCTGGATATGGATGCAAAATGATCGGGTAGCAGATGTTGGGATGGTTTCTCAAGGGGTCAGTGGAGCCTCACATGTGAAATGCACAGGTGGGCACTCAGGGATCTATGCAAACAAAGCAAATTATATCCGGCAGGGCGAGAGGCAGAAGGGAGTGGTGGGATCCGTGGGCCTTGCATTCTCCTGCACTGTCAGGAGGTGTTTTAGATGCAGTTGTTCTAGAACGCAGTGCAAGGCAAACGACATCTGGTCTCCAGGTACCCACAACTCTTGGACCCCAATGTGCGACCTCTGCATGTGTTTGCCTCCGCTGTGTCTTCGGATCTCAAAGAGCAGTTTCTCTTATTTAGCATCATCGCTCAAGAACTGCGGTCACACATGCGACATGTCAAAGTGATCTTCTGCTCCTCCCTATCTCTCAGTGGATCTGGCCACCCCTGGGAGTGTCCACAGCTTCCCCTGACTCCTGGGCAGCCCTCAGAGGGCTTGACTCCTTTACTGTAGAAAAATACTAACAATCCTCCCAGATCTCCATGCAGGTTCTGGAAAATACCAGATGGCCAGAACACAGCAGGAAGACCCATGGAGCACACAGAACAGGGCTCTTTCCTTCCCGTGCCTTGAACCAGGTCCCAGGCAGGGCCCTTAGCCCGTGCAATCCTCGTAACAATGAATTAGGATAGCAGTGGTGAATCTATGGCACGTATACTGCCATAGGCATGCAGAACCCTCCTGTCGCCCGCAAGCCAAGTCACCCAGCATCCCTCCAGCAGCCGGTATCCAATTAACAGTGTGCACAGGGACCACGTGCACCCTTGGAAAGGAGCAGCGGCAACAGACGTCACAGCAAAGACGTTAATGGTTTTTCTTAACTAAGACCTCAGAATTCAGGTCTAATTGCATTGTTGGCACTTTGCAATAAGTAAATGGGTTTGAGGTTGCAATTTGGCAATCGGTCTCTAAAAGGTTTACCATGACTGCCTCAGGGTGTTTAAGCGATTCTCCCCATTTTATACAGAGGGAAACCACGGCAGCAAAGCAAAGCATCATGCTTGGAGCTTCAGCCCCAGCCTGGTCTTAGACAGTTGTATCATTTGGGATGAACTCTGGTCATACACAACCCGGGCTCAGAGAAGCACAGGGACTCCTTTAATGCCACTCACCTAGGAAGTAACATTCACAATATCTGCTCCACCCTTCACTTATTCTTTCAAAACTTCATCTCAGCCAGGCGTAAAGGTATGCACCTGCAGTTCCGGCACAGCAGAGGCTGAAGCAGGAGAATCGAGAGTCCCAGGGGAGCCTGGGCTACATAGCATGATCTTGACTCAAAAAAAAAAAAAAAATTAATCCTGAAGATCTGTTAATGATTTAACGAGTTCTTTCCAAGCACCTGCCTGCTTCTGTTTTAGGCTCTTTGGATATAACAATTGCGAGCAAAACACAATTCCAGCCCTTACCAGACTCACGTCCTAGACAGGGAAGCAGACAGCAAATAAACAGCTTTTGGGAAATGAGGAGAAAGACGAAGGCCAGCGTGAGAAGAGGTCAGGAGAGGTGGCCAGCGTGGCAGAGAAAGAAAGGCCCCACTGAGCAGGTGACACTGGAGATAAAACCAGGAGTGAGGGAGTGAGCCTGAGGGGGTCCCAGGGAAGACACTCCAGAGGGAGGGGGCAGCAGAGTGGCCTGGCAGGCTGAAGAACAGGAGGTGACAGTGACACTGTAGCAGGGGGGAGGTACAGGACAGATGGAGGAAAGGGGGTCACCAGGCCACGGAGCAGGGGACCCGGGGCCAGATGGTGCAGGCCATTAGGAAGACTGGCTTTTAGTCTGAGTTAGTAGAAGCCATTGCAAGGAAGGAATGTGGAAACAGACTCTAAGTGACCAGCAGAAGGACCAGACAGGAGGCAACTGGATCAGGTAACCAAAAGACAGAATGGGGTTACACTGGCTGTGCCAGGAGAAGTGGGGAGAAATAGGCAAATTCCAGATATCTTTTGAAGATAAACCTCACAGGATTTGCTGATGGATTGGACAAGGCAAACAAGAACAGAAAAAGGGTACTGATGGCATCAGGGATGTCCTGGCCCAAGCAGCTGGTAGGTAGGAGTTGCCACTTCCTGAGACGGGAGGAGGTGGTATGGGAGAAGCCAGAAGGTCCATATTGGAAATGTTGGTCTGAGCTGCCTCTTGGATTTCCAAGTGGAGATGCTAAGGCAGCCGGGTGCTGCAGATGATCAGGAGAATAAACTTGAAGAGTCTCGGGCTCGGTAGGAAGGCAGGGACCCCTGGTAGTCTTTGGATTGCAGCAGTGCCCTGATGTCCCTCAGGGTAGCCAGCCTCCAAGATGGCACCACTGATCCCACCTCCTGGTACACGCACCATAGCAGCCCCCTCTCACACAGAACAGAGCTGAGCAACGTAACAAACTGTTGCACAAATACTGGGCTTGAGGACCGAGACTAGGTCTTCCACCTTGCTTTCCTTGGGACCCCCCACCCTGGGAGAAGTCAGCTGACATGTTATGGGGAGACTCAAGCAGCTCTGTGGAGGAAGTGAGGACTCTCACCGCCTTGCATGTGAGTGACCCATCTCGGAAGTGGATCTACCAGTCAGGCTTCTTTTCCCAGAGTGCTCCCATCCTTCTCACTGTATCTTCCCACCCGTGCAAAGGTCCAGTGCTCATGTGAGGACCACAGCACCACAATGACTGTGCCTGTGTGATGTCAAAGACTGTGACAAATCTCCTTAGATAGCTCAGAATGCTCCCACCCTGCCGCCCTCAGAGGACAAAGAGATAGCATGGGGAGGGGACTGCCCAAGGGACTCTCACTCCCTGCCTGGTTGTGGAGTTGGCCTGAGTCCTACCTGGGAGAAGCCCCAGGCTTTGTTCCCCAGTGGAACATGTCAGAAACACCATGGTGTGGTGGCCGTGGCTGTGGAGTCTCATGTCTAATAGTCTGTGGCTTTGTGACTCTGGGTAAGTCACTTTACCTATTCAACTTCAGTCTCCTCAAACAAGCTAATGCACACAGAAGACAACATGATGGAATTCCTGGCACCAGGTAAGATGCGTGGGCTTTGGTATTCAGGAGCCATCCAATAAGTAGGGATTATTACTGTGATGTGACCTCATGGCTTACGCATAGCCAGCTGGGGATTAGATGGGGAAACCCCCATACTTTCCATGATTTCTCTAGTTCCCCTTCGAGAAAGTGATTAATCTTTATCCATACCATCTCTTCCAGGGCAGTTTAGAGGACAAAAATAGTTTACATGACTAAGTGTCTAAAAGATACTATCAGATGGCAGGGATTCCAGGGACAGTTGAGTGGGTGATTTCAGCTGGAACTTAGAGGTCATCGCTTTCAAAGTCTTCAAAAAACATTTTTTCTAGTACTTAGGATTGAATCCAGGGCCTTTACATTGAGATACACCTGTGACAAATTTTAAAGTAGTTTTTATTTTTCAGTTGTTGAGACAGGGACTCACTAAGTTTCTAAATTGTCCTGCCTGGCCTCCTATGTATGGTCCTCCTACCTCAGCCTCCCAGAGGGCTGGGACTATAGGTCTGCACCACTGCACTGAAATCTTCAACTTCTTTGTGAACAAGAACCATTTTTATAGTCCCCAAATTCACCAGGGTGGCCAGAGGAAGTTAGGTCCAGGACCAAGAGGCAAGGCGATTGGCAAAGAAGTTTTCAGAAGAGAGGAAGAAAGAGAAAGGAAAGAGCTCTACCCAACTGCTGTGTCCGCTTATGCATCCATGTGCCCGTGTGTATTTTTCCACCCATGTGCCCTTCTCAGCAGCTATGTCATAACTAGTCAACTATATATTGTTTACTATGGGGCAAGCACTTTACCGATACTAATGCTTTTTATTAAACAGCTATTATATGAATGCAAACACCTTGTTTATGGGATCCCATTCGATTCTCCTAGCAACCCTGGGAAGTAGCTGTTGTTCTTTATTCTGGGGCTAGGAAATTGTGACTCAGCCACTACTCAATGTCACAAAGTAAGTGGAGGTGGCTGGGATTCTGACCAGGTTTTGTTAGGAGCCAGAGGGTGCTACTGCTGTTGTGCTCAAAATCCTGCCAGTGCCAAGACTGCAGAAGACTCAGCTAAGTCACACAGCCAGAGCTCAGGGGCAAGCCTCAGCACCCACGGGCTGCGGAGCTCTTCCCCAGAACCTGCCCAAAGGTGGTGAGATGCTCTTTCCGACTCCCTTCACGCTCTGGGTGGATAGGCTAGAACTTGAGAAGTGAAGGGCATGGCTCTCAAGGGCTGGGATCACAGCATGCACACCACACCTGGCCACATTCACATTTTAGATCCGAAAAAGCTGAGGTTCTAGGAAGTGAAGGATTTGCTAAGAAAGTGGTAGAGATAGGATTTGAGCTCAGAGCTGGTTGACTCCAGATCCTGCGAACATCCTATGCTACAATTCACTGGCTTATAAGGGCAGCAGGGCTACCAAGTGGGAGGCCAGGGCTAGGTCAAAGCTGCCCTAGCCTAGGAAGAAGTGCTGATGAGCTCCAGCCTTCTCAGGAGCACACTCACTGCCGCTGAGCCTCTGCTCCCAGGGTCTCACACGGCTAGACAGGAATGGAGGCCTCAGGGATGCCTTCTGCCTCACTGGTTGCTTCAGAGCAGCAGCTTTGGGGCCATCTAGCCCAGGTTCCCACCTATCAGTGGGCCTCATCATGGACCCTACCCCCAGCATGGGCTCTGCCCTGTTCAAATACTTCTAAGGACAGCACATGAGCATTAGCCCAAGGTGTCTAAGCCCACTGTCAGGTGAGACTTTATCTGGCTTTGTCTCCAAGCAGCCCCTGCAGACTCTTGTGAGAATGCTCAGCAGGTCCCAGGCTGTGCTTCCCAGGACTCAACCACATACCTTAAATGATGATTTAAAAAAGCAAGTCCTGCATCCACAGCAGGTGCAAAGCCCCCAGGTTGTCACAGAGTCATCACTGACCAACTATGCTGATGCTTGATTATTCTAGTACATTCGTGAAATCATCTGTTCCTCTCCACAGTGCTCCTGGAGCTGAAGTACAGGCCTCAAAGATGCTCTACCCCTAGGTCTCCCCTTGCCCTGTCCTTGGATCTCTCTGTAGGTCTTCTCCTATGGGTAACTTCTTCCCAGGAAGACCTATGTATTAGTTCATTTTTCATTACTGTAACAAAATACCTAAGGGCAGGATCTGTATGAAGAAAGAAAAGTTTATTTAGCACATATTTAGGCTAGTATTTCAGACAACCCCAAGGCATTGTGGACAGGTGTGCAGATGGAGCTAGGAATCACACTGTGAGAGACAGGGAGTGTGTGTGCATTGCGTGCATGTGTACTGAGTATAAGGCTCCTCTCCTCTCTCTCCCTTCTTATGCAGCCAATGGTCTCCAGTCATGGTGTTCCATCCTGAAGACCTTACCTATCACCTCACAAAGGCCCCATTGTAACCAGCTGACACAGTCAGATTAAGTTCCACCTTCTTTCCTTTCCTTTCCTATCTTTTATTTTTTTAGATAGAGTTATGTTATGCAGTTCAGGCTTGTCTTGAACTCACTTCTTAGCCTAGGTTGGCCTCGAACTCGGAGACCCTCTTTCCTCAAGTTCCCATGTGCTGGAATTACAGGTGTGCACCACCACACCCGGCCTAAACTGTATCTTCTTACCAGCTCTCAGTGAGGGTTAAATTTCAGCACATCAATCCTTGGGGCCACACACTAGCTACACTAGGGTACCCTGTGTACCCTAGGGCAGCAGCCTCCGAAGCTTCCCGCCCAGTCTTCCAGGCCTTTGATCCTACAGCAAAATCACCCTATGCAATCACAGTAATACTATCAGTTTAATTTGTCCACTCACTCATTCAACAGCATTTCAGGGCTTCAAGGCTGCTCTAGGTGCTAGGGATCTGTGAGCCCACTAAGAAAGGTGACATGCACGGGATTCCTGTCCTCATGGGCACGGGTTCTGGCAGGCCTTTGCTTCTCAGGGGCTGCTACTGCTGTAAGTATCTCTCATGGAGGAGCTCGCCTCACACAACTCCCTGCCATGCTGAGGTCACAGGTCAGGTCACCCGGCAGCAGCCAGGTGACTTAGGTAGCAACAGCACTGAGTACCTGGCTATGCCAAACACCAGCCAAGTTTTTTGTGTTCGTTCCCCCAGACAGCACAGGGTGGCAGGGAGGCTGAGGGAGGACTTGGAGTCGGAGGCCCAGCTCACTGTGTGGTCACACTCCTTGATGCAATCTGAAGGAACTATACTACTCAGGTTGCTCGAGGTTTTGGGACTATCTATAATACCAGACTGGAGTGAGCATCCTGGCTTCCCTGAGACCTGCGGGGTGAGGAAAAGGGGAGAGGACAGCTGGGGAGTAGGGGCAGGGCCTGGACTGTGATACCCTTCACCCCTCGCAGGCTCCAGTTCTTCCCATGCTGCCCTCAGCCAGTGCCAGTTTCAGGGTGACCACATTCCAGGGCTCACAAATGATCGGAATCCGGGGAATCCTATCTGTACCGGAAATACCACGGGAGGATGAAACAGGAGGAGTAGAGAACAAATGAACACCCGCAGGGCATAGTGGTGCACGCCTGTGACCCCCGCACTCTGGACACTTGCAGGAGGATTTTAGGTTCCGGTATAGCCCGGGCAACTCAGTGATTTAGCGA